CTCCCAGAATTCCCTAGCCAGCATGCTGGCTAGGGAATTCTGGGAGTTGAAGTCCACACATGCTGTCTGGGGAATTCTGGGAGTTGAAGTCTACATTTGATGGAAAAGAAAGGAAATTAATGAGTTAGTGGCACAACTCATTTCTTCTTGGAAAATGGCCCTTGGCTCAAATCCCGTTGCCCGCTTGTGATTTATTTGGTAGCCTAACTTCATCTAGGAGGCTAAGAAAGACAGGTAGATCACAGCACTCTTGCAAGGTAGGCTCAGATCAAGAATTCTCTCACCCAGACTCCAGACCCCACTGAAGAGGGAGGGAGACTTCCAACCTTTAAACCTCACCCTTTAACCCCTCGGCTGCCGTTTCCTTCTCCATCATGGATCAGGGCCCACCACCGCCCCAACCTGGTGCCCTCCAATTGGCAGCAATCCAACGTGGCGCCTCTTACCGATAACGAATGCCTCTTTTGACTGCGTGCCATGTTCGTTGTACCAGGGGGGCCGGCCCGCGGTGTAGATGGTCCTTTTACTGGTGCGCAGAAGGGGGGGCTCCGATTTGGACTGGCTGGTGGTGCGCTTCCGGGGGGACCTGGTTCCGACAATTGTGGGCAGCAGCCTGTCCAAGGTGTCTGCGCTGTTGTTGCGACAAGGGGGGAGACACACGGGGGTCAGTTCTTAAGCACCAGCAGGCAAAGGGGTCTCTTCAAGCGAACGAGGAATCCCTCGGTCTCCACTGGGTGGCCTGTTTGGGGTGACAAGTGGCACGGCCATGCAGGACTACAGAACGCCAGCTGGGGTTCTCAAGGTCAGGGGGGCTAAAGAAGACGGGGGGGGACGGTCAAAATCACCAGCTTTTTTCTTGGTTGACCAGCAAAGGAGGAAACATAGTGGGAGCCAAAACCAAGGATGGGGCCAGCAAAGGAAGAGTGAGAGGGGGAAGAAAGGAGGAGGAGGAGGAGGGGGGAGAGGATGAAGAGGAGGAGGAGGAGGAAAGGTGCCCACCATCTGGCAACACTCATAACTACAGTTCCCACCAACTCTGACTCCAGCTGGCTGGAGCCGATGGGGCCTGCAAGCCATCAGGTTGGAGATGGCCACCAGAATGACAGATCTGGGACTGAACAAGAAAGAATGGCGCTATAATCCCCAGGCAGACCCCACCACCATCTACGGCGGGTAGGATGAGGAGGAATTATGGCCTGCGCACCATGATGTTGTCGGAGGCACGGACATAAATTGCAGGGTTTGCGGAGTGGTGCCAGGATGCCCTCTGGGCACTCGCTTCTGCCCCCCGTGGATGCCCCTGCCGGACCCCAAGCACACCCAGCGAGGGAGCCCCAGCCTGTCCCCATCGCTCAGGTGTGACTATCACGCTCGCGTGCTGCCAGGATAAAAGGCCCACAGGCGTTGGGTAGCGGCCACGATGATGTCACACGCACCACGACATCAGTGCACAAATCATGCCTTGCGTGTGGTGCTCTCATGACCTCATTTGCCCCCCCTGCAGTTCCCTGCGGAGAGGCCCTACCCACTGCAGACACCCCTGACTTACCCTATCGCAACATACATTTTATTTTATTTTATTTTATTTTATTTTATTTTATTTTATTCATCCTGCTTGGCACGCTATTTGCAACGGGGACTGATCCTTCCCCTTTTATGTCCCCACACGGCGACTTCGCCTGGCTGCCATGCCGCAAAGCCCCACGAACGAAGCCACCCCTCTTATCAATCTCACTCCAGGTCTGGCTCGGAAGCAGATAAACGGAGAGATCCTTCGCCCGGGAAGACATTTAGCCCTGCTTGTGCCTCCAGCCAACTGTATAAACTTTCCAGAGCAGCCCACAAGCCTGGGAGAGGTTATTTATAGCTGATCCTTCCATCGCCAGCCTCCCCCTCTTTTCCTTCCATTGCAGAGGCTCGGGGCATCCGCTTTCTGAACGGCCTGCAAAACAGGTGGGAGAGCCATTTTAAGACGTGTGGACTTCAACTCCCAGAATTCCCCAGCCAGCCAGGCTGGCTGGGGAATTCTG